AAAAGTGCTTCAACAATTGGTTCAAACGCATGCATAAGTATATAGATCTTGACGGAGAATATTTCGAAAAGCAATAAAGTGGTTTTCGATGATTAATATTTGTTTCTCTGCTCTAATCTCGAAATACAAAAGGCAACTTCCGTGTAGGTAATCATAAGAGGAAACCTCTCGTGACACATATTTTATGGTTCCCGTTGGAGCAGGTCAAGGCGTGTCGCTAAAAATCCTAATTTAAGCTTTTTCAAAGCTTAAAACAAGTTTTCAAAATGCTTATTTTTACTAAATTTCAGAAACTTATGTTTTTGTAGTTGATGGAAGTATAAGTCAATACAGTAAATTCAATTCTTATTTATGAAGACTCTGAATTAAACAAATTTAACTGTTATTTTTCTTTGTAATAAATATTAGATTATTAATTTAAAAAAAAAACGAATAATTTTAACTGTCACTCAGCAAAAGAAAACCATATTTTACGCTAATTTACTCTTTTTATACTCTCGCAACCTGTTGCTACAGAGTATAATAGTTTTGTTCACCTAACGGTTGTTTGTATCACCTAAAACTAATCGAGTTAGATATAGGGTTATATATATATAAATGATCAGGATGAAGAGACGAGTTGAAATCCGGGTGACTGTCTGTCCGTCCGTCCGTCCGTCCGTCCGTGCAAGCTCTAACTGAGTAAAAATTGAGATATCTTTATGAAACTTGGTAGACATGTTTCTTGGTGCCGTGAGACGGTTGGTATTGCAGATGGGCGTAATCGGACCACTGCCACGCCCACAAAACGCCATTAATCAAAAACAAATAACTTGCCATAACTATGCTCCGCAATAAGATACAAGACTGTTATTTGGTACACAGGATCACATTATGAAGGGGCATCTGCAGTTAAAACTTTTTTTTTTAAAAGTGGGCGTGGTCCCGCCTCTAATAGGTTTAATGTGCATATCTCCTAAACCGCTAATGCTATAATAACAAAATTCATTAGAAGAAAATTTTTTTAGCACTTCTATTGACGGTGTGAAAATAGTTGAAATCAGGTGGCAACTCCGCCCACTCCCCATATAACGGTACTGTTAAAAACTACTAAAAGCGCGATAAATCAAGCACTAAACACGCCAGAGACATTAAATTTTATCTCTGAGATGGTATAAGATGACTTTATAGGAACCGCGTTCAAAATTAGACAGTGGGCGTGGCACAGCCCACTTTTAGGTGAAAACCCATATCTTGAGATCTACTTAACCGATTTCAACCAAATTCGGTGCGTAACGTTCTTTTCATGTTTCTATGTCATAGTGCGAAAATGGGCGAAAGTGGACTACAACCACGCCTATTTCCCATATAACACCTTTTTCAATTCCATCTGATTCTTTCACTTTCCACTATGCAAATCAGGTAACAATGATTATATCGGGGTAAAACTTTGCGTGAATAATGCAATTAAAGTATGCCACCTTGCGGCCAAAATTGTCTAAATCGAACCAAAACTGTTCAAACCCCTAAGTACTATATATGTGGACCCCAGTGCCTATAGTTGACCTTCTACCGAAAATATCAGTCAATCCACAAAGAAATCTCAAACGAGTATACCATTTGACTTTGCGAGAGTATAAAATGTTCGTTTACATCCGAACTTAGCCCTTCCTTACTTGTTTAATTATACATTGATGCTTAAAGCCATTAAATTGCTTACATGCGAAAATGCGAAAACATCAATCAAAACTCAACACTTATTTACAAACAACAACAAATCTGTTATCATATTTATGCTTATGCGTGCAAATTGAAAATTTCATAATCCAAACTATTTATCATTGCTCTTATTGCCATCAATTGTATAGTTTACTCGTTAATATTATACAACAACATAAATTAAAAAAAGAAACAACAAAAATATTATTGCCAACATCAAAGCAACATTTTGCCGGCATCATTATCATTGAAAATCATTCATCCTGAAGCCTGGAAATAGCAAACACGAAAACAATGCGGTGACCTTTCCAATTGAAAAATACAAAGTTTATTTGTTAAAAAAAAAAATATATATATGTATATAAATACTGATAAATGAAAGCAAACCAAACATGCAATATTTGATTTCTCCATCGAAGCAAACATCAAACGTTGACATTTATGTATAAGCCGTCTTTCGCGTTTTGTTAACTTTTCTCCATTTTTTTTTGTGTATTTTAGCTGAAAAAAAATCTCATCACTTGCAGCTACAGACGCATTCTCGTTACTGCTCAAGCATAAATTTACCACTGACACCCTGTTGAAATTTCAAGAATATGACTGAGTGATTGATTCAAATGAAAATTCAGTCTGTGCAGCGTTTTCCAAAAACATAACAAAGAAATAAAAAAATAAATAAAATTATACATCCGATATAAATAATCTGCATATTGCATTGTCTGCTCAGTTGCTAAATTAATGTCGATATCTACAAGATCGGTCCCCAAGACGATATCGTAGACTCGCAGAGCGGGCGCATTGCCTCTCGAATCGGTCGGTGGGTTTATAGGGTACCAATTCCATTACAACCATTATTATGCACATACAACAATGCTAACAACAACAAGTACGCACCAGCTCTGAATTGAGTAGGTAACTAGGCAACAATAACAACCACAAAAAGCAATTGCTTCAATAGTTGCGGTGGTAATCACAATGATAAGTTAAAGTTCAGTTCAGTGATTCGTATAGTTGAGCGGATTGCAGAATTAATTCTGAAAGCTTGAGTGCAAACTTTCCCTAACAACTAATCTACTTTGAATACATACAGATGTATATGTATACAGGCATATACAAATACACAGCTACATACTACAATTTGCGCTTAAATTTAAATTTAATAGGGTTCTGTTAATGGACTAAACAAGTTATAGGAAGGCACCAATACATGTTTGTCCAGAAACATCTTTACAAAGGAGCTTACATAGAGAATTCATTTTCGATTATAATTGTTTTTTATAAAATATATTTGGCGTTAGTAAAACAGTTAGAGTGAGGTAAAAATTGCTAAAATATTTCGTCTATGTTCAAAAAACAAGTTTATCTTAAATAGTAATAAATAAAAAAATTCCAAGCTTCATTCATTATAAAATATATATTTAGAGATTGTGCCTGAGAATATATAATATTTTAGTGCTACAGTTGCAGTTGTAACTTGTGATTTTTGATTTAAATAAATCAGTATATTTTAGAAAACAAATTATTTACTTTAGAAATTTTTGCCATTTGTTTTAAATAGTGTGGCCAATTTAATATGCAGAAAATCCGTTTATAGAAAATAATCAGCATTTAGTGAAGCTCATAAACTCATCGTTAACTTGCCTCATTCGTGTGCTCCATCCATCTCTGTTAAAGACGATATTTTAAAAAAGTTAAAATCGGGTTGACATCAGAGTGATAGCAAAGGACCTCAACATCTCTTTTGGATCGGCTCAACATATTTCTGGGTATAACGCATATCAATTCTAGACTCGTACCCAAATATCCGAATCTCTTGCAAAAATGACGTCGATCTGAGGTCGCAAAAGAAATGCTTGAAAAAGTAGCTGAGTATCCTACATTTAAGACCTTTATATATATGGCGACGTGAAACTTTAGGTTATTTTTATCAGTCCGGGTCAAATTAGATCTTTATATTCGAAGTATGTAAATTTGAACATTTGAAGCAAACTTTCTGAAAATAATTACGTGACGTTAAAGTTAAAAACATTAATTTCAAATAAATTAAAAATAAATTGAATCGATTACCATGGAGAAAATATTCAAATAATTCATAGAAATAAAGTGGAGAGCGAGTAATAAACCAAAAAATCTATATTGCATAAAAAGGGTGCCAAAAAATTAATATAAATTAATTTAATTTTTAAATATTTAAATAAGTAATTTTTTGGTTTAAATTAAATACAATTTAATAGTAAGCAACAAAATTTATATTGTATAAAAATTTTGCTAAAAAAAGAATTATATTTTACCATGGATAGTATGTATGTTGGATGTAATCTACTTTTAAAAAATTATAACTTTTAAAAATTATCTGTTTGCTATAATATATGCAGACAGTGAAGTAAATTGTTTTTAACATAAAGCGTTCTTTATTATAACCAAGTTTACTATTACTTAATTTTGAATCCAGGTATCAACTCAATAGTTCATTATTAATATTGCAGACGTGTCCCTCATATTCGAGGGTATACAAATATACAAATTAGAGTTTGAATCCATTTGAATACTTATAGCTAATACAGCCTCATTACTGTTTCACTTAAGTCCACTTAGTCTCATTGTGTACGCCTTCGGTTACATCGTAAAATACAATAGCAACTGTATTCAATTTAGATATTTGTTTGCAAACCATCTATTCCCGACAAGTTACTCCGCGCGATTGCTCTTTGCCTCTGTTTTTCACTTAATCAGCAGCGTATTTAGAATTAATACAATTGTTTTAGCATTGTGTTGCGCTAATTTTGCCCCACTTAAACAGCTACTTTCTCATTAGTAGTTACTATGGTAATTTCACAGATTTAAGCTGTTTGTCTATTTTGTTAGCAAAATAATTAGAGTTTAATTACTATGATCATTTATGAGCGATTTATGGAGTTGAGGATACAAAAGAATGCCTTCTTTGTAATAAGTGGCTCCCAATAATGATTTCAACAAGCGTGGGATTCAAAAAAAGCTTCTGTAAAAAGTCTAATAAGATTCAGAAACAATATACTAACTTATCAACTCACTGCTACTTTGTCATAATACTTTTATAAGGAACGAGATTGGTCGATCTCTATACAAGTAGAAGTATGACAAATCAAATCATTATATAATATTATATTTTCAAACACAAAGCAGGACAAGTAGTTTTCAATATGTTTCTATAATTACTCACTGAGACAGATATGTTTTTAATAACATCCATATTTATCATGCCAAAACTTTTTAAATTTTTCTTAAATACATTTTTTTTCCATTTTCCATTGTTTGCTTACCAGATTCCCCCACAAAACTACGCGAGGAAAACGAACGACTTAGCGCGGAAATACACCGCCTACGAAAACTGTTGGAAAACTCACCAGAGGGCGCTGTTGGCGGTGTCGACCTTTCGGACTCCAATAGCTGTGGCGATGCCCATTCAACCGACGGCAGCGGTAGCATGCCACAACAACGTGTCGATCGGCTGGAAGCCGAGCTACGTTCAGCAAAGAGTCAAATAATGACATTACGCATCGAACGTAAGAAGCTACGCACCGACAAAAGTGAACTGCTTGCACAGGTAAAGCAACTCTGCGCCTCGCTGCAAGACAAGGAGCAGGAACTGCGTGATTTTATACGTAATTTTCAAGATCGTGTGCGCGAGACTGAAACAAATAATGCAAAACTGACCGGTGATCGCGAACGTGAACGTTGGCAATTACTGAAACAGGCACGCGATGAGGCTGAACGTTCGTTGGCATTGGCGCAGCAATTGAATGCACGTGACCTACAGCTGCAACGTTTGCAAGATCAGCTACAAGAGGCGCGTCGCCAACTCTCTGGCTGTTTGTCTGATCAGGAGAGTTTATTGTCATTCGCACCACTAACACCGCCATCGGCCGCTTCGGCTATGATCAATCAAATGAACGTAACAGCAACAGCGAACAGTGTAATGCGTAATGACGATAGTGGGCGTGGAAATTCAAATTCATTGTCAGCGTTTAGCAGCAGCTTGAGTGGAGGCTCTGGCGCTACGGCAGGTGATCGTAATTCTTGTTCGAATGATTCGGGTTTACGAAATAGTAGTGATCGCGAAAGCACCGGTGGCGATTTAAACTTCAGTGATGGTACTTGCGAGAATGGCCCGTGTATAACAGTGGATCCAGATAGCATTTCACTGATCTCTAGTCAAAATATGTATCAATGTAAGTGAAAGGTGTTTGACAACTACTTAGTAATCAATTGCACTTTTATTTTTTTCATTACAGATGGCACACCCAAGGAACGTAGTCCAACTCTGTCACCACTGAACTCTGCCGCTTACTCGAGGTATAGTTAATGTACGAAACTACTTTATACTTCACTGAGTTTTGCTTTTATTACCAACAGATCTGTGGAGCAACTGGGCTCGCCCGTGGAGTCGGATGGTCCTGGCGCCATTGCGCGTAAATTCACACCAAAAACCGGCACACTAAGTGCACGTAATGGGCGCGGTGGTACTTGGGGTAGCATTTCTCGTGTATTTGCACGCTCTCGTAATAAAAATAAAGCTCTGTCAGCAGATGGTACTGTTGAATGTAAGTTGTAAAAGCATCAAATTCATACTTTCATATCAACTAACCCACTAACTGACGCACATCTTTTCTTTGTCTATTCTAGTAACTCCCTATCTTTCAGACGCCGACTACTCATGGAGTCCACTCTCCGAAGAGGGTTATGCCGAGAAATTGCGTCTACTGCGTGACGCCGCACAACTGCCAATGGAAAGATGGCGCGCATCACAAGTGCTCGCCTGGCTGGAGGTGGCGCTCGGCATGCCACAATATAGTACGCGTTGTGCAGAGAATGTGAAAAGTGGCAAGGTGTTGCTTGAATTGAACGATGGTGAATTGGAAGCCGGTTTAGGCTTGGTCCATCCAATGCATCGTAAAAAATTACGTTTGGCCATTGAAGAACAACGTAGACCAGAATTGGTACGCTATCCAATGATTACACAGCTGGGACACACTTGGGTGGCCTCCGAGTGGCTGCCGGATATTGGATTGCCACAATATGCTGATACGTTTTTACATTCGCTAGTTGATGCGCGCATGCTGGATACGTTGTCGAAGAAGGAATTGGAGAAGTTTTTGGGAGTGACGCGGAAATTTCATCAAGCGAGTATTGTGCATGGTGAGTTAACAGTGAGATTATGTAGCTCTTAAAATTTCTTTATAAATGTGCTATTTTAAAACTTTTCAATGGGAGCAGGAATTAAAAATAGCTTAAAATAAAAATATTATTTACATATATATAATTTTGAATTTGTTCAAAATTTTTTTTAGATTATTATAATTAGACCAGGGTAAATAATTTTTGAAAACAAAAAACTTATAGTAGGATAAAACCCATCGGAAATGAAAAATAAAATAACAAACATTTAGTGAAAACTAATTTACGGGCGATCTGTGGTCGGGGGTAAGAAAAAGGCGTGGTTAAATGTTAAGGGTTAGAAACGGTCTGCATCGATTTCCGGCTAAACTAAGAGTCCTATAGGAAAAAGTTATGAAGCAATATTGTTGGTAATGAAAAGATCTATAACTGCAAATAACCAAGTTTTTGAGTTTTTTATTTTTATCTTGAAATTTAAAACATTAAAGTTAAAACCTTTTTTCGACTTAAAATCAAAAAAAAATAACAAATTTTCACTCAAAAATTCTCAAGTCAAAATTTCTGTTTTTTAAAAAAGTCAGTAGATGTTATGTCTATAGAAGTTGTTTTGGGTTAAATAATTATAGTACCACACTTAATTTTCATATTTTTTAATCAACTTTCATATTTTATTACATTTCAGGCATCCACGTGCTTCGTATTGTGAAATATGATCGCCAAACACTGGCCATGCGTCGTGTACAATCGGAAAATGTGGACACCGATCCAATTGTGTGGACCAATCAGCGATTCATACGCTGGGCGAGATCGATCGATTTGGGTGAATATGCTGACAATTTGAAAGGTAATACATATTATTAGAGTATATTCTATATGTAGTAAATTTTTTGCTTAAAACACATGTAACGTTAGGCATAAAACTTATCCTACCTAGTTCTAAATAAAACTGTTGATATTTAAAAATAAATTTTCTTCCTTTCTCTGCAGACAGCGGCGTACATGGCGGTCTTGTCGTATTGGAACCATCGTTTTCTGGCGATACCATGGCCACAGCACTGGGTATACCACCCTCTAAGAATATCATAAGGCGTCATCTCACAACGGAATTTGATGCGCTCATATTGCCCGCAAGGTAAGGCAAATTTATTTCAACTATTCATATCATATCATCTATCGTTGTTACAATCATTTTACCCAAATTTACTCGTATCTCTGTGTGTATGTAGCGTAAGTGTGTAAAGAATTCCTTTTATATTACATAAATGTGTATGCTACTAGTATGTAAACATGCTAGAAAGAAAGAAAATTATTATAATTTTCAAAATATTCATAAAACGATGCTTGCGTTTGAGTTGAAAATTATCTGTTGAGCATTTTCGTTTTTGTTATTGATCGCGAAGTTAAATTTCTTTTTTTGTTAATTTTTTTTAATTGCGTGATTTTTATTTGATTTTCAGGTAGTATATATTGAAATAATTTTACATATATTTATTATACAAAAATATAAATATTTTAGTTTAATTTTTTTTACTTTGTATTAGTTCGCTTTCACGCACATAGTCCCACCAATAGTTTCAATAAATAAATTATAAAATCTTTGTAAAGAAAATATTATGTTATACAAACATAAGAGACGTCTTTTACCATTCATTCCTTAGCGCTCAAAACCCATAGCTTGCTTCAAAATGCTTGTTTTTTTTTATTTTTATATCTAAATTATATTTAAAATATTCGTATGCATACATATATATTTATCTCTATTGAATTATTTTTTATTAAAAATTGTAAATTTTAATTTATTTTTATTTATTGATTTCATTATTATTTAAAAAATTTTAAAATAAAATAATAAGTATGCATAATAATTAAATGAATTATTATTCTTGTGCTTATTTTATTCTTAAGGGCATATTTTATTATGTTTATGTACGCTTTTATTTATTTATGTTAAAATTATTTTTCACAAAAACAAATTGGACATAGAAAACCGTTATCTTTCAATAGTGCTTATTTATTATTTAGCAACTAAATAGGTATGTAATAGTTAAACTGCTTATCACGCTGCCAATTTCATATGACTCATCATGTATACACGCACACATACACATAAATGAAATATGCTTACATTCTGTATGATCAAATAATTGAATTAAAAAAAAAACTTAGTTAAACCAATTTTAAGAATAAGTTTTTTTTCAAAAAAAATAATTTTTTTTTTATTTGGCACTAAAAATACTTCAAAAATTGTTTTCGGGCCAAACATTATTTTAATTTTGACCAAAAATTTTTTTGTTAGAAAATTTTTTTTTTTTGCTTTCAAAATTTTGGAAGTTTTTCTCTTAAAATATTTTTTTTTTTTTAATTTGGCTGAAAATATTCTACAAAAATTCTTTGTTTTTTTAATTTTTAACTGGAAAAATACCGTAAAAATTAATTAAAACTTTAATAGATAATAAAAAGTTTTATATTTTATTCAAACCACAGCCTTCAAAAGTCATAAACATTTTTTAACAATATTTTCTAATAAACTGCAGCTTAACGCTGCTCTGAACATTGGACTAACAACACTAACAACACTGCCGCTCTTTATTCCATTTCATTTCACTTGCTCTCGCATAAATTCATTCATTTCCCTCAACCCCTACCAAAGCATCTGTTGCTAACTGTGTATGCCAGTTTCGTTCGTTTTTCTGTTGCTACATTCGCATTCGCATTCGCATTGAAAATCATTTGCATAATTTCCATTACTGAACGTTACTCTCTCACCTCATTAATGCCATCATGTACCACTGCATTGGATAGAACTTCATTAGCAATTTCTTTTTCTGAAAAAAAAAAAATCAAAATAAAACATAAATGTGTTCTCTTTGTATGCATTTACATATGTACTAAGTATGTACTAACTAAGCTGCTGCTTATTACTTGTTCCATTTGTACTGCTCGTAGTTCATTATTATCTTCATGTGTTTGTGAAATCAGAATGATCATACATATTATTTGTAATAACGAATATATTTAGAAGAAAAGAAAAAATAAAAAAAAATAAACAAATAAAAAGCAAGAAAACCAAAACCTAACTAACCATCAACGTTTTCGTCGTTTCTTCCATTTTTCCCTCGTTTATGATGTGTTCTACTCACAAACATGCATACCTCAACCACAACAACAAACTTCATTAACCAAAAAAATAAAAAAATTAAATATATAAAAAATTGTAAACATTTTTTTTTTAAATATAAAAAAATTCTGAAATACAAACTAATTCCGCAGATACCTTGTTTACTGTCAAATGGAAGAATTTCAAATGGATAGCACACGACAATTAATTTTAAATCAAAAACAGCTAGGCAGATAAATTGTTGTTAAGTTATTGAAACCTTTGCTTTAAGTACCATATAATGTTATTCTTGATGTTTGTTCTGACGCATACATTTTAATTAATTCCATCTAATTGCGTACATATGTTTATGTGTATGTGTGTGTTTGGGTAATGTTATATGAAATTTAGATCAATTTGTGTAGCGGACGTTGAACGATACAATAATTAATGTGTAATTTATTAGTAAATATGAATAACGGTCTAGGCTATGGACATCTTATGTATGTAAATGAAAAAATATATGTAAATGTTGAGATATGAACATACATACATACATTATGTCTGTATGTGTATTACGAAACATATACATAAAATTGTGTAGAACTTAGAAAGAGTATCGAGATTTCGTGGTGAAAATTAGGAGCGATTTGGCTGACACTGTTGTTTGTAAATCTTCGAAGAAAATAATTTTTTACTAAATGTGACATTCAATTATCGAATATATTTATTAAAAGACAATTGCTAGAAAGGGACGATTTCCTATTTATAGTTAGCACTTTTCGATCCATCCGACTTTGGATACATTCAGTCAAGGTACGATCTGGGCTATATATTATTTGACGAGTTGTTGTTGGCAGCGTTACGCATGAATTGTTTCACCTGATTTTATAAGCTCATCGTACCCAATTTCCTTTATCTTCAATATCTGCTTTGAAAATTTGTCAACTGGCTTTTTGGGTGACTCCCCAAGATTCTGCGAGTTTTTCGTTTGTTTGGCAGCAAACTTCATCGACTAATACTGCAAAGCCACTCGAATATACATACAATACAAATGAAATGTGTTCTTACTGAAAAATATAAGCCCTAAAACAACGAATGAAGTTAATTAAACTACATTTTTTAGAGAAGTGAAGGCTTGAACCATTCTAGTAATGAAAGGGTTATTAAACTGCTATTTGAAGCAGAGAGAAGATATCCTTCACCGAAGGGTACAGTGTGACCAAAAATTGGAAGACAGCTGAGCTATTTAAGATTTTTGTTCTCAGTCATGATTTGTTTTTTTCGACTGCTTGGTCGAATTTCACATTATTGCAAATCAGGAGATAATGTATGGAAAAGTACAGTTTTACTGATTTCTGTTTGTACATTTTTTTTTTTTAATTAGTAACAAGTACTTATTTTTTGAATTGCAGGCAACAGTGTTGCCAAGTAAGAATTTTCACATTTAATACAGAATAGAAATGCAGTGTGATGAAAGTTTAAAACAAACAGAAAATGTAGTAAATTTTAAATCATGCTAGCAAAAGCCAAATGTGCGCTAGTACAGAAAAACTGTATTTATTAAGTAATTCATAAGAGAAACGTATGAAGTAATGGCGTGTACTAAATATTATTGTAGCTTGTTGATGGAAGTGCATAACACACTAGTGTAAAAAAATATAATTATTGCACAAAGATTCTCCATGCTAAAATTTTTCTACTGAACGTGTTTAATTAATATTATTTAATTTTTAAGATAGATGTTATTAAAAAACAAAAAAATTACTTTTGGTGTTGCATTTTAATTTCAAAATACCAATATTGAAAATATATATATGTAAGTAGTTAAAATAAATACGAACTTGAGTAGATACACAATGGAAAAGATATATATCAAAGAACTACTTTAAAGCGTAACAAAAGGGAAGCAAATAGCGAAAATAAAATAAAACCGATACTCAACGATGCATTTTTCACATAGTTCTAATTTACAGAAATTAAATCCAACAAGCGCTGAGATACCAGTGTAAGCAAACTATTTAGTATTAAATATAAAATTTAAATAAACTAGCATTATTTACAAACAATTAAAATCAAATCAAATCAAATCAAACAAATCGAAATAGAAGACTTTAACGTAATTAAAAGTAGGGAAATTTTAAATAAAAATAAAAAAGTAAATTTGAATAACGGAATATCAACAGCAACACTTTAACTCTAATTTAACCAACAACACACACACACGCTATCGATAGCTTACAAAATTTACAAGCTCATAGTGAATAAACTAGAGAAAAGCCGAAAATATTTTTTTTTTCAACGCACATAATACTTTAGAAACGTACAAAATTTTTATGTATTATACACGCCCCTAAAGTTAAGTCATAACGTAAATATATTTCAAATAAATTATATATAAACTAGTGAAAACAGCTCAAATCAAATGCTTTAGAAACAATTGATTAGTTCAAAATAGAGTTCAAATCAAAAGACGCACGAAGCGCTGCACATTTCTTACAGTAAAAGGCGAAAATAAATTGAAAATATTAAAAATTATAAACCAAAATTAATATGCAGCGCTCAACTTCATTTGTTTAAATATACATAAATACACACGTCGAACACCAATAAATCCATACATACGCATACAAGCAGTCATGTTGTTGTTACAGCAAAAATTTACTCGCTCACATATACGTACAAGCTCACTTAAGAGCATTCGTGCGCTCTTGCATATAGTTATAACATATAGATGTGCTCGTGTGATAGTTGTAAAACATATCCATATAATACTTGTGCATAATAATAACAATAACAATAATAAAATAGGAAATGTATTAAATACACAATTGTTCCGGAATTCTATTGTAGCCACATGCAACCATGCAAGCATACCTGCAAATACACATACAAATAGTTGTATGTATGGTGTGTATGTGCGCCGCTTAGTTGTCGTTGTTTAACAAACATTTCATTTCCTTTGCAATTTTTCATTTTGCCAATAGCATAAGAAGCTTAGAACAGCTTAAAATGAGGTACTCGTTATAATATGTATTTGAAATGTTATTTGCTTGCTTGGGAAATCCCACTGTCTTCTTTTATTTGCAATATTTGCCGTGCACACTAGTATTTATTAATTTTGTTTTTTTTGTGATTTTTGATTTTAGAAAATAATTTTTTTACGCTTTATGTGGATTTCAGGTTTAGATGTAAACCATTTTATTGTAAACTAAGATTTAATGGTAAAAACAGCCAATTGTAGATCATAGAAATCGATGAAATAAATTAAAATTATTAATATTATGAGAATAGTAGTTCGATATTTATTTATGAAAGTAATTTTCATTAATTGATATTCACTGATTTATCTTTAACCACTTAGTAGGTGAGTAGTGATCATAAAATTGCATAGATTCTGTAGCTGGAAATGCAACAAAACCGAGTGAGGTTTTAACTATTTGATCAAAAGCTTTTAATATATTATACATAGTAAGGCGTTAAATTGTAGTATAAAAATTGTTGTCAGATTTTTATTAAAAAAATCGTAAATCATATAACTGACAGATCGCAACAGCTTTTATTTCAGTGAACTATTAACTCCAAAAACTAGTACCGAATTTATTTTGTGTCTAAAACTATCACTTGATATATAATATGTATTCATATTCAGTAACTATCCTTAAAAAACACATATTTTCTGCAAAATTATTTCGTTAAAAGAGCATTCAATACGAATCCAGAATGTTGCGCAGCGCGTCTGAGTTACTATAGTTTTTTAAAATGAAAATTTTAATATAGCATTTACTAAACTTTTTAAGCACCAAAAAACTTACCTAAATTCAAAATAATTTAAGCGTAAACAGGGCGTATGAGCAGCCGAATTTCTGTTTACATCATGCATGAGTTGTGTGTGGTCATGGCGTATGAGTAATCCCAATTTGCATATCACAACATATTGCTATCGACTTAACATAATACAAGTTTGCAATATTAAAAATTAATACATTATTATATTAAATATGAGTTATTAAAATTGATTTATTAAATTATAACATGAAAACATAAACAAATTGGCAGCTATAAATTAGGTTACTCATACGCAGTGTGTCACCTGCAGGCGATGTATGTTACAATACAAGCCGACTATACAATTTTGGATTTAAATAGACAATACAATAATGTATTGAGATATGATAATTATCGGTAAAATTTCAAACTATCAATTTTCATATGTCAAGCAGAGTTTTTATTATACCTATTTTTTTCGAAATTAAAAAAATAAAATTCATTATTTTATAAAAGGTATAATACTACGTATAAGGGTTGGATAAAAAGAAATTTAAAAATTCAAATGAATTTAAAGAAAATACATATATCATTTTTTTTAAATTAACTTCACAAATTTTCTGTGAGTTAATTCCGTCTAATAGAAGTTTTCAGGTTGGCTAACTGAATTTGACGGCGGTGTTGAGAACATAGGCGCAAAGCGCTATAAGAGATAATATTGTATTATTTTCCTTCTCTGATACCTTCATTTGAAATTCAAATGCTTTCGAATTTTTTCAACACATTTTTTTATTAATTGTAAATATATGGTATACGACATGGTATACTCGTTCATTGTAAAACATTAAATAGAAATAAATTTAAAAATGAGTATGCTTATTTTTATTGCTAAATTGTAAAGAGTTTGTAATTTTATAAATTTCTTTATGATATTTAAGTCATTATGTCCACTTTTGATCGAAGGCATAATGTTTTTGGTAATAATTTCAGTTTTTAAGCCACTCTAAACTGTTAATTTTTCCACAAAAACGATTTTTTTGGAAAGTGGAGGCTTGAGAGAAATACAAACATTTTACTAGTCCATCCATGAGTACTGGTATATTTATATGAACCCTATAGTAATAATATGTTTATTATGGTTTTTGGATTTGAGCAGAAAAATCTCCCCCACCACCAGACACCTTTTTTCGGAGGTCCGCTTGGAGATCGGCTACGGGTTCAAGGGAATCCAATGACTCCCGATTACATTAAGTTCTGTAATTATATGGGAATTCTTTTTTTTTATTAAAGAAAATTATTCACGAAAAACAAATTTTTTCTATTTTGCAAGTGAAAGTTAAGAAACTCTAATCTAAACCAATTTATATTTACCATTACATTATACATTAGCAAATGAGAAAAAAAGAAATTGATAATAATTTTAAACAGAAAAAAAGGACGGCAAATAGCTTTTAGGTTGAAGAAATGTTTATCATTTTTTTTTATATTGTTATATTATTATAAATTATCCGAATTCGCTAATTTATGACCAAAAATTCACAAATATTGACTAATTTAGATAATTTTTTCAGGTATATTTTGCTTAAAAAGCATATACATATATATATATTATGTAATATTTATATACGTGTGACTCTTTTCAGTACAATTGTTTCCATTTTGCTCGCTTTGAGCCACTTCTCAATATGCACATATCAACCGTTTTAACTAAAAATATGTAAAATTTTTAATATTTATGAGCTCTTCTTTAAAATATCTATTTATTTCAGTACTTTCTAATTTTAAGTAGGCCACTATTGAACTGCTCGCTTTATGCTATATTATCACACAAAGCGCTAACCACTATCTATGTACACACTTATGCGCTGCACTGCTTCAATTAGGTTAACGCTCAAAGCCATTACATTCTATTTTGCTATTTTAAACTCGTTCACATTACTTTCTGCGACTTCAAATGCATTTGCAACACAACTTTCGCAATCAATACTATTTGGTGCTAAGTGTGCAGAACTTCCTTTCAGACCAAAAACTTTTATTTCTCCATTTACTTGCTTACTGCTATTTATTTTAAGTTTCTTTTAACTTTATAATAAATAAAGACATTTGCAATTACTCGTTTGTTTGTATGTATGTGTATACACACAAAGTTTCGTATGTATTTATGCTTATTCTTGGTATCTTTATTTTACTTCTTCTTATTTCGAAACTAATTCTTTTTCAAATATACTTTCTTTTTCTTCTCTGTTTTTTCTTATTTCTCTTACAATATAATATGTATATGTATGTATGTATGTTTTGTACAACTTTGACGTTGGCGTTGCCTTGTGCTATTTAATCTTTATCAATGCAATTGTTACATTACCACTACGTGCACATGCATACACACATACACGGAATACACATACACACACACGTGTACATACATACAAATGAGTGTATTTCATATATTTCTATTGAAAACGAATAACTTTTTAAAACTTATTTATATGTGTTTGCATTTTGTTTTGTTTATTTTCGCTACTACAAATTTCTTTTTCAACTTGTTGCTGTCATTGCTGTCTGTACAACCACAACAACAACAACAACTTAAAATCATCAATAACAACAACAACAACAAATAAATACCAAAAACCACAATAATCATTAAAACTGTGCCTCACCAACACCACTGCAAATAATACCGACGTTGACAAAATCGCAAAAAAAAAAATTGTGAAAATCGAAAACATCAACAACCAATCAATCAACCGTTATCGTACCGAAATGAAATAACGCAAACATTACAAATGCACATACACATACACAAACAAATGCCACATACAACTACAAAATCAACTGTCTTTACTAACACATATTACATACATATATGTACACCAAACCATGCACACATACATACACACATGTATATGAATGCCTGTGCCGATTACTGGCTATGCCATTTGCCGTGTATGTGTTTGCATCATTGTTGTGTATGCTTGTATGTATGTATTATGTATATATATATATATATATATATATATATATATATATGTATGTATGTATTGTGCTTATCGCTGTGAAATCAATACTCATACAAAATAAAATATATTCTGACAAAAACTTCCAATTCAATTACGTACCAACAAAACAAAATTTTGCTAACAAAATCACATATACACACACACATACAAATGCACACCTACAAACAAAAAATCCAATGAACATCGATGATAAAATGATGCAAACAAATCAAACCAAAAACAAACTAAAAACAAAAACACACAAATACTGTGCAACACAAAACATTTAACAACAACAAATACCACAAACAATGGACAACATTTATTTTTCGTATGGCTGTAACGAATGTGTCACGCACTGTTGTTGTACTGTTGTGTTTAGAGCAACCTTGGGCCAAGGCATACGTTCCGGTTGCGGCATAGTACCGATTACGGGACCGGGCGGCTTACAGCACTATGCCACAACTGATCGCCGCTCTAATGGCGCATTGCGGGTAAGTCCACAGGCTACTTAATTACTTAATTGCTTACATTTTCTGCTAATTAGCCTATTCATCTGACTTACAACTATATAATATATCATCATAAACAGTATAATTATTGTTTAACGCTTTTATTTTGTTAATAATTTATTTATGTTTTCTTACCGTTTTTCACCGTTATACACTTGCCTTGAACTATTCATAATTGTATCAATGTTAAAGATTTATGTATAAGTATGTAGATATTTTTTCGAATATTCTTGTCTACGCTGATTTTTCAATTGTTTATAAATCTATCTGAAAATTACCGTATTTTGTTGTGCTGCTTGTGTCCCCTTTAACATTCTGAAAGCATTAATACGAACATAAATTATAAAAAACATGCAATTTTAGGTTACAATAAAATAAAAAGCAACTAAAAGTTGAAAAACTAAAATAATTAACAGAAAATTAAAATTAAATTACAAGAACTTTTATATAAATTAATAAAGCAAATAATTTATTAAAAATTATTAATTACTTAAATAATTTAAAATGAATATCTAAATGCTGTTTATATAAAATATGATAAATATTATTATTTCAAGTATATACCAATAAACAAAAAACAAGAAAACTGAAATCATTGAAAATCGAAAAAAAAAATAACAAGCAAACCACATTATTTTTATAAATGAACACAAAAATTCTTCAAAAGTTACATTAATAATAAAAATTAATATTTTTTTATATAAAATCACAATAAATTAATTGAATAGCTCAATTTTTTAATTTTATAAATGGCTATTTCAAGTTACCAAGGATAAAAAGTGACCATAGTTACCTAATGAAATAATAAAGATGAATCAATTATAAAAAATAAACAAAATAATAATTATATAAAAATATGCTTACTTTTTTTTATAAAAGAAAATATTACAATCTCTGAAAACCGCACAGAATTTGAAAGGTGAATCAATACAAAAACTTAAATTAACGAAAAAATTAAAAAAGAAAATTATTACTATTAAAAATATTACAGAAAAAATTCCAATTTAATTTAAACAAAAAAAAAAAAAACCGTTTGCACCGAAGCTATAATACCCTTCATAAATACGAATTATTCCTTACAGGAACTTAATTTCGACCGGTTAGTATGTATGACAGCTTAATGCTATAGTATCTCGATCAGAACAATTTCTTCAGAGATTACACCGTTGCCTTAGGTAATAACCCATGCTAAATTTCTTGAAGATACCTTGTCAAATGACAAAGTTTTCCATACAATCACCTTATTCCGATTGTTCAATTATGCTATAGTGGTCCGATATCGGCGAAACTATCCAAAAAGAAGAGCAGCTTCTTGAGGAGAAAAGGACGTTTGTAAAATTTCAGATTAATATCTCTAAATTGCGTATGTACATACGGACAGACGCACGAACAGAAGGACATGGCTAAATCGACTCAGCTCGCCATTTGCTCAGCTTGCTTTTTTATACCATATATATTTTATAGGGTCTCCAACATTTCTTTCTGCGTGTTACAAACTTCGTGGGAAACTTATATATCCTGTTCAGAGTATAAAAATAAAGAAATTAATTTATATAAACATTTATAAAAACCTAAATGAAATAAATTAAAATAAATTAATATTTTGTCGAAAAATTACGCTTTATACTTTCGAAACCACATACAACTTACCACCACATATTCTATCTGCTGACTAAATACAACAAAAATTAAGAAGAACTCAGTCTGAATAAATTTCCATTAAAGCTACATACATAAATTGCTCGTACTCGAATCGTCTACTTGTTACTGCATCATCTACTTTACTTATACTCGATAACCTCTAATTTCTTCTCATTTTATTAAATACTCCTTAAATGCTCTGAATATGTTTACTCTTAGCTACTACCACTACTTCGTACGACTACATGCTTAGACTCTGTGCCAAATGTTTATTTAAGTAAATTGATTTGTTAACTAGACGCATTATTTGTTGTCATTCGGTTATTGTATATTGTAGGATGAGAAAAAAAGTTGAAAAGTAGTAGTGATCTTAATACACAAACATACACACAGGCATCTGTCTAAATAAAACTCGTCAATAGCATGTATATATACATATGTACGTGTACACTACACGACCTCACGGCGAGCAAAGTTTTGCTGGAATAAAAACTTGCAATATTCACCTGTCAACTTGCCAATCAATTCAAATCAAGATTGATTACACTTTGAAAAAGTTATGTCGTTGAGCTGGCTAATAACAGCTAAACAAAACTTGAAGAATGCCGTTATTTTGTATTATTCTTAATTTTATTTTGTGGCAACCACTTTAATTTGTGGTAAGTCTCTACTATGTACGAAATAAAACTAATATTAAAGTTTAATGGGTGAATTATTATACACCATATATGTGCTTAGCACTGTATTCAGATATATAGAATATGCCTGCAATAATTTTTGTGAAATTGTCATAATTTTCCAAACTAAATCAGAGTTTTTAGGTCTTTAATATGTTATTTACTAGTTTATTTATAGACTATATATTAGTAATTTCTGTATGTAGTCAAAAATGAATATGATGTGAGTTGAGATAGCGTTTCTAAGCCCATTTTCTCAATAATATTTAAATACTTCATAAAAATAAAGGACCTCAAGTAATCAGTTCCTTAATTAAATCGATATATTTAAGTAATTACGTTTATTTCGGCTTTTAGTACAGTTAATAGAAATTAATTAATTTTCATTGTTTTGTAGTTCAGTTAAAAAGGCAACAAATGCGATTTCAACTACCATTGATATCGAAATAAGTACTTTGAACTATATAAATTTATTTATAATGAAATGCAATCAACATATTTAGTCCGATATTTCACTTGGAGAAGAAATTTTAAAACTTTAAGTTCCATTAATAAAATTATGGCCATAAATCACTTAAATTTGAATTAATCAGAGGTATTTTAATTATTTGATTATATCCACAGTCGGGCTGATCATTGCAGCTATTAAGGAAAGCTTTAAGGGGCATACCTAGTGTGAGAGTCTAAAACAGTCAATTTTCCATAATTCAAAAAGAATTACTATGTCAATTGTCTTAAAATTTGTATTGTATATTTATACTTATTTTTTGAGAATCCACAGCAAAATTTATGAATTTAATATTTTTTCGAGTTACAAAATTCGATTTTTGATCAGATCAAAAAACTGGCAAGTCGTGGTATAGATAACTACAGAATTGCTGAAAAAATTTGATAGCGATCGAATCATTTGTCCCTGAGTGCTCCCACATGAAAATTTGAAAAATGGAATTTTAAGAAATACGTCATTAAAGATAAGCTGATGGAGCTGATGGAACTCTATTTTTGTAATTCGAAATTTGGATCGGAAGAATGTTTTGGCTTTGAAATCATTAAATCTTCTAGGGATTCGTCAAAGATAGTGAAAGCATTTCTCGATCTATTACCACCACCTTACAATAAGACTCCGAAAAAGAGGTGAATTTATATGCCTCTGACCACTTTTAAATATTGAATCGACGAATATGTTATAAATTTAGTTAAAGTCTCGGTGGAGTCAATCCCTGACTTGCTCAACAAGCAGGCAAATCGGCATAAATGAAACATGCGCCGCACATGCCGTCTATTAAAATTCAAAAGTAATGACATAAGAATTCTAGTAAGAGTGATAAAAGGTCAATTTCTTATTGGCAGACATGCCAGCAGACTAGGTGCGCCATATAATGACGATTGTAGAAGGAGGTAGAAAAAGGGGAGACTGTAAAACATCTTCTATACGAATGCGAAGCTCTATACAGTTAAAAATCGCAACTATCGGTCGAGGGTTTCTGAATGTTTCAAAGGTTGCATAATTAAAACTTTTTGTACTGATGAGCTTCATCAAAGCACGAGGGTGGTTTAGAGAGGAGACAATGGAGTCAGGGAACATTAGCTCCGGTGGTATCACAATGTGCCACCTAAAAGCCTAGGGTCGTCATCAGACAGACACTCTACTTACCTACGTTAATGCTTAAATTCCTTTCAATGCTTAAATTCCTTTCAGGAATTTTTCTAACGTAATAGTACTGTTTTTATTTTACTAAACTGTTAGAAATATTTAAAATAACATCGATAGCTATTCACTTAAACAGAATAGAAAATATAATAGCCTTCTATGTATTTAAATCTTGGTTGTTATTCAAATTGCAGCAAGTTGCATATACCAAATAGTAAACTCATCTTCTAGACGAACCACTTTAACCATTACAAAGCATTCTAAAACAAATAGCATAATTTATAAATTCCTGTTTTGAATATATTACTGAGCTACATATGTATACGCCTAAATTGTAGAAAATATGGTATATTGCTTTTCTAAATATTTAATTATATTTTAATGCTATTTAAAAGTTAATGCTATTTAAAAAAATAAACGTTTTTATCAAAATAATATTTTGCTTAATAATTTGCAAAATAATTTTTTTGTGATTTTTAAAATAATTAAATTATAAAAGTTAAATTTTTTGCTTTAATTGCTTATTAAATAATTAAATAAATATATACATGCACCGAAAATAAATATTAGATATTAATGTTATGCATTAATTAAAAGACGCACAAAAACAATATATTTACTTATATAATGATGTGTAAATAAAATGAGCTTTTTATGTAGGTAGTACGCTTTTGTCTGCTGTTCGCGCGTTATATCGATACATTTAAAAATCAAATAAAAAATATTAATTTAATAATGAATAATAATTTTTAAAAAAATAGTGATGTAAACTGCTCGGTTGGATTAAAATTAATTATAAATACGCCTAATTATATGGAATTATTAACACCACACATACGCGTACAATACAAGTTCACGTAGGAGAAGAGGTTAGGAAGCGCATGCCATGAAAATTTCAAAAAAATGTGAAGGAAGATAATAATAATTTACTATTCATTACAAAAATAATATATACTTAAGAAAACACAATCGAAGTAAAGAAATCAACAAGCCATTATTTACAGTAAGAAAAAATTTAATAATTATAAAAAGCTGTATAATTGAAACAAATTAATGATAATAAAATAAAGCATAATGTCATTGTGTTGTATTAATTTGTAGTTAGCTTAAATAAAACCTTGCTTATAAGTAATTGAATAAGGTGCTTGGAAGGTCCGAGTGTGTAGTTGGTTTAGGAATGCGTAAAGGGAGAATAAAAGTACAGCATATGAGCAAAGTGATGGCATAATCAGAGTGTAAGAAAAGCAAACGTATGTATTTTTATTAGTTTTTTTATAATAATAGCAGTTTTTAGTCTGAGAACTTTTTATATTAAATATAAATAGGTAAATTTATTACTCGAAGTCAATTTGATAGCAGACAGCTCTGCATAACCTACTGGTTAACAATTTTATAATATTTTACGTTGAGATATTTTATCAAATTCCCATAATTTTCACATCAAAAAGATAAAAAAAAATTTAGTAAATAAAAAAATATCAACAAAAACAAACTATTTTGGCCCACTGTTAACGCGCGCAGTCGTCCAATAACACTTCATTAGCTGCTGGTACACCAATTATAATTGGCTGAATATACGGACACACATATGTATACAGTGTGTGTTCAGCTGACTGCTACTGCATTTACATACATACAAATATATGTACATATATATCTACAAGTATGTAAATATTAAAACGAAATAACAACGCTATTAAATTAACAGTTAATTGTAGATGATTGCATGAAATCAAACGTTAAATGACAACCGAACGTACACAGCATATTTACACGCATACGGTTGTGTATGCAAAAAATGTGAAATGCAAAAATATTTTAAATATTTGCATTCATATGGGCACGGGTAGCCGCTGGCACAATTGCAACATGCACATGTGTACACACTGCTTCGCTTTAATGAGCGCAATATAAATAGGTCATTAATTAAAAGGGTTTAAATTGGTTAAAAATTGGTGACCGCATAATGGTCTTACCGCCTACATGGCGTATACGTAATTGTTCTGGCAAAAGATGTATAAATCGACTATAATAGTGACGAATGGCAGATGAAGCTCTTATGCAAATAAGAGCGTGTGTCAGTGCCGATGCTTATTGGGAACGAAGTGTGCTACTTAAAAAAACACATTTTTCAGCATTAAAAGCTAGTTGAAATAAATGAATTTTAATGTCAAAAGAGTAGTTCGATAAACCTACAATGGCTTTTCTTCAGAAAATATGCTAGATTATCAATATTTGTTCCCTTTTGTTCAGCTCATTCGTCATTAGGTGGTTTTTTTTAGCATCTAACCCACCTTTTTTCTTGCTATTGTGAAGCGTCACTTTGAAATCACTTTCACACTCATTCAATAAAAATTTTAATTATGATTTTGGGGAGGAAAATGTTACTATTACTCACTGTAGACCAAAAAAATATTTTTAAATCACTTGCTGCGAGCATTTCTTATATTTTTCTTTATCTATGCCTCAAAACTTATTACAGCAATGAAAGCCATTTATTTATATAAATATAATAGCATCGCTCCCATAGTCTCAAAATAGCGCAAAAATATTATTTGTGCATTTCTTTAATAGCAGAAATTCAACTTAAATGTAAAAAAAATAAATTATGAGAAAAATGACCAAATCGAAAATCTCTCTTCAATTTTATATAGTGCTATTTGCACCCATATATATTATATTATATGTACTTGTATACATTTTTTTTGTTTTTTCTCTGTGTGCATAAATTAATGTGCACGTAATTGGCTACGGTAGCATTGAAATTATGCAAAAGCGTTGCCGTATATTTGATGAGTTTATAATTAATTGCTTTCACTCAATTATTATTCTCTGTTTTTTTTCGATTTTTTTTGTTTTTGGTTCACATTCATTGTCTTTATTTTATTTACATAACGGTTAAAAACAACTTATTTAAACACTTGTATGTATGTATGCATTCTCGTTTCTCTTCCCATTCTTCTATGCTCAGCAGATATCGGCATGGAAAGGATCACAGGTGAGTTGTGAAGCATTTTTTCACAATGATTTTGTAGTTTTTCGCTTTATCTTTTTGGAGTGATATCTGCCTGATTTAATCTATAATTTTTACCTCATTCTTTTTTTATTTATAGCTTAATTTGTTTTTTGGTAGTTTGGGAATTTTTTATTGTTTTAAGCCCACATAGTTTTTTTTAAGTTTCTACGATTTACCACAAATTTCATAAATCACCGCCAAATGCAATTATAGTTCATAAGCGAGATTATTGCAAAAAATATTGTTTACAAAAATATTAGAGTACCGAATTATTCAGATATAAGCACTATGTTTTGTAAGCGTGTTTTGGCCCAAATTTCTTCTAAAATTTAACAACTCAAAATACATATGGCAATCTTGTAAATGCTTTTTTTTTAAAGAAAAATACAAAAAAAAAATTTTTTTTTTTGCATTGCTAGTAAAATACATTTTTATGCCAATCGTATTCAAAATTATACCTATTTTTATTCAAATTTTTCAAAATAATATAAGCATGCTCAATATCAGTTCATTCACTAACTTAATATGTTTTCATTTTCTCTGAATGTTAAAATCTTACTCTTTTATTCTTTATTTTACTCAATTTACCTTACTTTTTTTACGAACCCGTACAAAAAATAAGTATTTAAACATTTCATCATCCACCTGTAAAAACCGATTCATTTCCGCACAATAACAACTCAGTATGCATTTTCGCACTAAATTCCATTTTGTGTTTTCTTTCTTAATATTAAACGGTATTAAACCAACTACAAAGAAATATTTTACTTATAATAACAATACTTTTGCCTCTCTTTTTGTTTTCTCTCCACAAACGTGCACTCCCACGTGCAGAGTTCTCTCTCTAAAGCCTTCCGTTTCAATACAAAATCATCACGCAGCGGAAGCTCCATTGGGGATCGTTCATCCTTCGGCAACTCCACCTCTCCAACACCATCGTATAGTAGCTCCGAAGGTGGTGGAGGAATTTACGCCACTATAGGCGGTCATCCACCACACTCTGCACCATTCTACTCCACCAGCACACATCACTTCCCGCCACCGACAACAGCACCACCACCACCGCCACCCTCAACATCAGCGTCCGGTCTTGGAGCAAATATAGGCGGCGGTAATATCTTCAACTATGCACCGCCGGGACATCGTGTGAGCGCACCGCCGGTGAGTAGCAGCAGCACAGCCGAATCAGTGACAGATCGAAATGCTTTGTACGAACAACATCGACGTGTGAAAAGCATCAGCGATATTGGCATGTCTGCTGGTATGGATGGTATTGCGGCCGGTGTCGGTACGGGTGCAACAGCCGCAACTACGACGTGCAGCACAGGTGGAACGACAGCATCGCTCAAGAGCGCCGGCAGTATGGGTAGTAGTAGTGGCGGCGGTTTGGGTAGTCGTAGCGGCAGCATCGGTGGTGGTGGCAGTGGTAGTGTTGGCGGTTGTGCTTCTGTCTCTTCCGGTTCACCTGTATGAGAATCAGTTATCATGTAAGGCGCGTCGAATGCGCACTTACATACAAACATGCATGCATGCATACATACATACTAAGTAACTAGTTAAATAAAAGACAGATAAAAATATTAAATTGTAAATTACAGTGGAACAATAGCGCAGAGCTTATTACAAAAAAGTAGGTATTGGTGGTATATATTTTTGAAATATTGAAAAATATAGAAACATTGTTAATCGCTACAGCATTTAATTTACGTAAGTATATATTAATAATACATAATTCAGTGGCATAACGTAAGCTCATTAATGTTGGCCACACAAACACAAATACAATCACATAAATGCTTAGATATATATTATACATAAAAATTGTTGTGACATTGGAAATCCATTAACAGTATTTACTTTTATTCTTCTACTTAATGCAGTATTTATAATAAGTGGCAAAATGTAATTGAAAAAACTCAATCCCTTTGATTATGCAATTTATTACACAACTGCAAAGTTTTCCAATAGAAAAACTAAAGGAACATCAAACAGTATTTATTTAATAACTTTATTAAATTTTTTATCAGGACGCTTAAAAAAACTTTTTGCATCATACAGCAGGCTACATATACGGCTAATCCCACAATGCGATTAAGATCAACATTGAAAACTCGCACAAGCCGAATGTATTTAAAAAAAACTATATATACGAGTATATTTTGTTTTTCATCCTACAAAATGATAATATCATATAATAAGAGAGTGAATAAGCCACTCGCTACTCAAACCTTTTTTCTACTATGTGCTCAGGCTTAACTGCACATAACCTCATTTTAGTAATATAATGAACCAAATGTCCAAAGCCAATCTAAACGATTCAAATTTTAATCGCAAACTTAAAATTTCACTCTAGCTGAGAGAGATCTCGATCATTTCTAAAGTCGTATCTATTTCAGTTAGAATGAAACATGAAAACTACAATGAAGATTTTGATCATTTCGATTACTTTTGGACACTTGGTTCATTATATTACTAAAGAGAGGTTATGGACAGTTTAGGCCGAGCACAGAAAAAAAGTATCCGTAGCTTTATCTATCGCTTATTATATTAAACCACAGATTAGTAATATAATGAACCAATTATTCAAAAGCAATTCAAATCTTCATTGTAGACTTCTTACTTCATCCCAACTGAGAGAGATACCGTTTTAGAAATTATGAAGATATAGGCAAGATGTACTCTCCCTGATTCAATAACCTTGGTTCCATTATTAAAGTAATACTTTTTTTTAAAAAACTGTTATTTTCAAACCTATATTTTTAATCGTTTCACCCAAGATTTATATCAAATTTTAAATTGAGTAATTTTAAAGAAATTAAACAAAATAGACATTCAAAATAAAAAGGTCTTACTGGATTTTTCCGAACATTTTCATAACACAATTTGCGTACTTTAGCGCTGAGATTCACAGAGATTTCCAAGACTATTTTCTATAACAACAATTTAGACCCAAACATTTTCAATCCAAATTTAACTCACAGTAGGTTTCAAACTATTCGTATAGGCATTTAATTACTTATCATACCCTATAGCAAACTTATTCTCCTAATTTCTAAATTCCACTCCATACCAATAATCATTTACAACTGCAACCCAATTCACTGATTCACAGCACTGCCAGCTTCAATGCATTTGTTTATGAATTTCGATATTTATTATTTATTTTGTGGCTTTATTTACCACAGACTGCATTCAATCGGAAAAATTAATTTCGAATTTTGTATTGTGCATTAGGCAACTACATATGTTAAGGTTAGATAAAATATTTTCCCTCAGCAAACACTCTTGTGCCATACATATGGTACTTACAATTACTTACATTACATAACAATGTGTTATTGCTTACAATTCATTATGCAGTAATAATTATTAACGTTTAGTCAAAGCCACAGCTTCATTATTGATACATTAATATATCTACACACAATTTTAACTGTTATTGTGTATTGCAGTGATTATAACTGTAGCATTTGTAATTGCAATCATTTGCACAAATGTATGTAAACACCTGCTGGGAAATCGAGCGATTTCTAGAAAACTAACCCATTTATAACTTTGCTGCCTTTTAAACAACTGTGCTATTTCTGTGGAAATGCCAGTGGGAAATCTGTGGTATAAGTTATTTCTTTTTGGTAATTGGAAACCAGTTCTAAACCACAAACTTATATTCGCAATGCATCTGCCTGGAGCATATTATATTTTAACAGTTGAATAATTTTATTGAAATTACTTTCACTCATTATAAATAACGAAGTCTCATATTGAATTTATTTTAAAAAGCTGGATACTAAGTATATTTCGTACTATGTTGAAACGCTGATAAATGAAAAGTTCCACTAAGCAAGTATTCACAAACCTTTAGATTCTTGATAATTATTCCAAAAGCTGTGAATTGTACTTCATATATTGCAAGAAGCACTAAAAATAGTCCCTCTTACCTTTACCAACAGCTTGGGTTGTGAAATGTGGCTGCTAAATTTGTATCGAAAAGTATCAGAAATATTATTCTACAGCTGGATCCCATCAGAATTGCTTTGGAGATTATGGTTCGTTGAAAAATCTGCTTGAAAAATGAAAGTGTCTTACAATTATGAGACTCTGAGATCATAAGGTTTGACTACTTAGACACGTTAAGCTTCATAATTATACCCTGAAATGCCCTGTTCATTAAGTGTGGCACAAAGTTTGTAAGACCCAAAAGGAAACATCGGTGACCTTATAAAGTGTGAAAATTATTAGTGTGACGAGCTATGGCGATTTAGCCATGTGTATACGGGAACTAGTCCCACAGAGTTTGAGATATCGTTCTGAAATTTTGCACAGATACTAAAAATCTGCTCATTTGCCAAAACTCCCGATATAGGACCACTATAAGATGTAGCTGCCATATAAACTGGCCGATCGAAATCACGTAATAATACAACTCTTTCATTTGAGGAGATATTTTCGCCAAATTTGGCATGAATTATAGTGCAAGGTAATGGTTCAATCTCCGAATAAATTGTTTGGATTTATAACAATATAGCTGTCACACAATATAAACAATCAGAAGCAAGTTCTTGTATAGAAAGTTGTTTATTTGTAAAGGGTATTTTAGCTTCGGTGCAATCGAAGTTAACGTTTTTTCTTAGGATATTTTTGAATATTTTGGTTTGAAGTTCATCGTGCGTTCTTGGACAAATAAATTTCCAATGACACAATGACAAATCCACCATTAAACTTTCTCATTCCCACCATGATTCAATACCATTAGAAAGTTTTCAGTATGCTTGAATTCAAAAAATCTCACAATCTCTGCCTTTCCTGCTGCTTATTTGGGTTTTTACGTAGTTTTGGTTATTATTCGACATCATATAATATATACTAAGATACACAGAACTTATGCTGAAATCGTTGGCCTAATTGAAAAATTGTTTTAGGTACCTCACAGTATTTAAATTTTAACTCATGAACAAAACTTAAAGATCCACCTCTTCCGAAAACTCAACCCACTTGCAAAAAATGTGTGCATAAATTTGCAATAAATTTAAAAATTAAATAATTTGTCATGTTATAATTGTAAATATATGTATGTATGTACGTATTAGACTAATGAAAGTAATTATTTACAATATTTAAACAATAAATTTTATAAATTTCCTATAATGAGCAAATTTGTATGTTCTTGTTGAAAACATGCATGAAAATCCAAATTTGAAAAAAAAAATGAATAAATAAATAAATGAAAATCTAAAAAATTCATTCATACATACATGCATACATACATTAGTGGAATATGTACAACGGTGTTTAGATTGAGTTGTGTGATGAAGCGTGTTTGGTGCCCCTTACCATGAATTGGGTATGCATATGCTAAGCACATTTGTATAGACACATAGATATTTATGTATGTGTTTTTTTTATACATAATGTACATGTCAATATGTATGTATGTATGTACAGACACGTGCTAATGCTATTATTACAAACACAATTATAATGCGATTTAAATTAAAAGCCAATTAAGACCCACGAATCGATGAAAATTTTGCGAAGCTATCAAACTAATTCAAGCATTGCAAAAAAAAAATAATATAAAAGATAATAATAACTATAAAAAATCGAAAAATATCAAACACATGTCGACAGCTAATTAATGCGATTAAGAATTTAAGATGGCAAATGAAACGTGGCAATAAGTACGCCTGTAATTAGCAAGCGGCATGTGTGTGTGTGTGTGTGTGTGTGTGTGTGCAGCAGCGGAATCAAATCAAATGCATACTAACAGTAGTGGCTCATTAGCATAATTAAGTACGAACAATTAATGGTAATTGCAAGTATAATAAAGTAATGAAAACCGGATATAAATATAACACGAAAATTAAACAAATGAAATGTAACAAAAATGCAATACTCAATAATAATAAAAAAGTTCTAAAAAATCGGAATGATAGTCAAAAATAAAAAAAAATAAAAACTGCACTTAAGCACACACAACTATTAATTTACATATACATATATGGTACATGCATGTTTATAAGTAAATTGAGTGTTAATCAAATTTACACCACAATATTAAGAAGACTTTTTGTAGTTAAACGGAATTAAATTTGTTAGTGTTTACATGCATACATAAATATTCAAAAACAACAACATACATACTTATGTTTAGCTATGTATGTACAATAAGTATTTAAACATAAATAGTTAAGTAATTGTCATAGAATTGTATTCAATTGACTTTACTTACATTTTTTTACTTTAACTTAAAATTAATTTGTATTTACGTAAAATTAAGAAGAAGTGTAATAAAAATATTAAAATTACACAAACTAAAGTAAATGTTGAAGAATTTACTATGCAAATTAAAATCTAATATATATAAATATATATATACATAATACATATTTATGTATAATTGTGTGCATTGAAATGAGCTAAGCGAAAATTATTGAAATCTAATGAATAAAAAATAAAAATAAATACTTGTATTGATGAGAAGTGAACATGAACGTAATTTTTTTCACATAATCTTTCTTTGAGCCTAGCTGCTCAAACTTGATACAGAACTGCCAGTAACAATTTGACAAACAGCTGTGCGACATCACCGGTTAAAAGGTTAAAAGCAAAAAGGAAGTTCTTATTTCCACTATTTAGAAAAAAATTATTAAATTTCTGGGAGATATAACTCAAACTTTTGTAGATCGAAGTTTGTTAAATTTTCAGCATAAATGATGCTCTATTCTGAAATTTATTAAATAAGTTTACATATTTATAATAAAAGTCAAGAATTTTGTAAAAATATCTTAATTTTCGAGGTTCGTTCTGTTGCTTAAAAGTTAAAAAGGTATTCCGTTCTAAAATCGATTTTTTTACATACATTCAAGTTTAGACCTTCAAAAATAAAATTTTTTCCGAAACGGCTGCACCGACTGAATTGAAATTTTCACACGACACTCTTTGATACATTCGTCAGGTATTGATCGAAGGAATAAGTTTTTTGGTAATAATTTCGGCGACTCTGAAGTGTAAATTTTTTCACAAAAAAAATATTTTGACAGAAATCAAAGAGTTCACTGGTCCATACATGATTACTAGTATAGATATACGAACCTTAAAGTAATATTATTTTTTTTGGTTTTAGAACTTGAGATGATTTTATGCGGAAAAATCTTCCTCACCACTATACACCTCGTTTTGAAGGTTCTTTTAGAGATTGAGTAAGCGATCAAGGAAATCCAAAATTTTTCAAAATTAATCGACGCTTATTATGTAGTACTTCCTTTAACTTCGGTTGGAGTATAGGGCTAAAATAGTAAATGCGTTAAAGCCGATCAGAACTATCGCGAGTTACCTCATCAATATTTTTGCGTAGTACCATATACTTGCCAGCCAAATCATCTACGTTTGATGGTTAGCTTTATATGTAATTCGTTTGGTTTTTTCAGTAGATTTTGATTGGCCATCATATCCTTAAGATTTTTCGGCAACACGAGTTTGCAAAAGAACCGAAGTTTTAATTTTTCGTAAGGACTAGAATTCGAACCGTATAGGAGTACTGTTTGCATGCAGGAGTAAAAATACCAAGTTTGGCGTTGACTGAAATAAATTGAGAGGACCAAATGATGTTTAGTTGAGCAAACCGACCACGCGCTTTGTTTATGCGGTTAACAATGTCTTCAACAGAATCTCCAGTAGCTAAAATGCGATTTTATCTATATACATTGTATTTTAGGCCAATTTCCCCAGAACACTCGCCAAACTTATTTAGATTCCCCTGCAAGTCTAATTTGTTTTACTGCCAGAAGAGCAATATCAACCGTGTTTGCCGATTAACGCTTTGTTCAGTACATCGGTCAAAACAATGAGAAAGAGCAGCGGAGACATAATACCAGAGAATGTTAATAAATATAATAATAAGTATAATATAAATATATATTAACATTCTCTAATAATATGAAGCAGAAGGCCACCTGCAATGCTTTAAAAAGTGCTCAATGAGAGCATGAAACAATCTGCATAGCGGCTTAACACTGTTTTTGTTGTAAGTCTGCAATTTGTAAGAACTGTCTTTCTTACTTTTTAACCTCTCCATGTTATAGGGAGCCGGATCTCCATTGTATTAACATAGTGAAATTAAATTATTGTTTAAATTATTTTCGTAGATTGGATATTTTTTACTCCATTTATTTTCAACACATTATAACATTATAACATAACACAAATCATTAACCACATTGAACAAAAATTTCATTATTTTTAAAATGTCCTTGTTATCCTTAGCCGCATTTTTTACCACCACCGCCAGTGCTCTTGCCACCATAACCACCGCCACTTTTCTTTGTGCCAGCCACCAGCTGCAATTGGCTGCAACTCCAACACAACAACAATAAAATTGGCAACATGAAAACTGAGAAACGCATTTCGAATATGTTAATGGAACTCCTTTTTTTCAATACTAGCAATATTAATATTAATGATTTGAAGCCACTCGTCAGGTACTTTATGCCGACAAGTAATACGTTTTTCATTGATGAATTCCTTTTTATAGGCATTCATATAGTGAATTAAATCATCATTTTTATTGTTTTTAGGTGTTGGAATTTTTTGTACAATTGTTTAATTTGTAACGCCTATGCAGATTTACATTCGCGCTTAAAAAGATCAAATATTCATATTTTTGATAACGGTAATTGGCTTTGAATAGGCACGCGAAGGAATTGACAACATTGCCGCAATTTATTTTTGGGATTCACCCAAGGTTTTCCCATATTTTCCAAGTATGATTCATTAAAATATTAATTAGAGCCCTTCATTGATGATTTCGCTATTTAAATGCTAAAACATTTCATTTGAATTTCAATTAATTATAATTTCGATTAATTTTGAATAGCATCTGTACGGCGCAGGTACAGAGATTAGAGGTGCACACTACGTACTTCGCTGATTCGAGATTTGATAATTCTCACGAATAATATCTTAATAAAAGTCATCACGTGACAAACGATGTAAGGTCAGACGTATCATATGATATTTTCGATCATACCATAGATATTAGAAAATAAAGCTAAATCGCTTTAAATGTAAAGATATTTGTTATAAAACATTATACGCTGAACAAGGTATATTAAGCTTACCACGAAGTTTGTAACACCTAGAAGGAAAAGGAGAACCTATTTGTATTAAGTAAATAAGTCTATATATATCAGCGTGACGGGCTGAGTTTAACCATATCCGTATGTCGGTATATACGTGGCTAGTTCCTCAGTTTTTGAGATATCGATCTGAAATATTTCAAACTTTATTTTTTTCTTCGGTAGACTTAAATTGAATTTCTTAATAATATTGGTCTTAATAGTCTTCTTTCGGTTGTTCCTATCTAGACTATCAGGCTAAGAAAAACTATATAAATTATAATTCCAAAAATTATAAAAAAAAGCACACTAATACTTTTAGAAAATAAAATTATTTATTAAACAATTCATGTATTAATTTTTGGGTTAGTGATTAATTGAAATGCGAAAACAAATAATTTTGTGTACCTTTAAATTTAGAACAATCCAAAAAATTCAATTCCTAACACTCAAACAAATACAATTTCAACATATTGCAATTTTTCTTCACCATAACATTGTACAATAATTTTACGTCGATCCTTCTTCAACGGTGTTGAACATTTCATGGGTTTGGGCTTATACTGCTCCTTACTATTCCAATACTCTGCACTCGCTGCTGCCTCACTGTCCTCTGTATCTTCCTGCGGCTAGCGCCGCACACCAGCGTCATTGGTGTCGGTAGTGGGTGGGCGACGTGTAGTGGTTGGCGGACGTCCACGTGGCTCAGGAAAGGGTTTGGCGTGGGCTAACGAACCCATGCTGCCGATCACGGCGAGCAGGCCGAAAACGAAGAACAACGATAACCACTTCATTGCTTTAGATTTCGGAGTTTTTCTTTACGTTCTGAAAAGTGAATAGTTTCGAAACTTTTGGCTGACTAACGATGTCTTGAGGTCAGCAGAAACCTTTTATACTTAATCTCAACTTAGCATTGTCAAATGCGCGAGCAATAGCTATTGTTATAACTATTTAGGCAGATGTCACAAGCATAAATTGCTGTAGATATGATCTTAGTATCGTTAGCGAATATCTTTTGTTAGCTTCCTTTTGTTCTTGCTACTAATCGGAATAAATGTCAAATGCGTTTAGGCATCAAACTCGAAGACAAGCCGGTTATGTTTATGTTCGAGAGATTGTTACGATCGATTAGTTGTTAATTGAGTTGTAAATCTTACAAGAAAATGGGCGGAAAATCAGTCGAGCATTTAAGTTTTTGTAGCTAAAATTTGCTGATTGTCGGACTTTGTGAGAAAATGTCAATTGTGTTGTATTTTAATGTGTAGTATGTCTATATGATTATACATATGTATGTATGTACGTCTAACTATATTTGTATCGGTGTAGGTGACGCAAGCTATGAATGCTTTTGGAAGAACTTGATTTCAAAGTTTTTAAATTCTCAACGCATCTTTATTACAAATGAAATAAACTGATTAATAATATACATATGTACATGTTTTAATTAAATATTATTTTTTCAAATATGCTGTGAAGCATGGTTATTCTTGTAAAAATTGTTTTATCATCCCTTCAAGCTCAATTCTTCCACAGTCCAATTAGCAACACTATTGCACCTAATGAAGATGATGATGATGATGTCCCAACACAACAGGATGTGATACAACTATCGGGTGTGACACAACCACAGGATGTGACACGACCACAGGATGGGCCACCACTACTGGATGCACCACTCTCGACTTGACGACCACAACAGGATGCTCCACAACCACGACAGGATGATGATGATGTAAAATACCAGGTGCAGCCTGCACACAATGTGGTAAATTCGATGTTAAATAAAAAATGAAAGAAAAAATGAAGACTGCGAATTTAAAGAAATACATTTTATTCGGAAGCAAATATTAACTTAGTTGATGGTATAAAATGCAACTGAATTTGCTTGGATCTGCAGTTGAGTTTTATAGTTTGAAAGAAAACCTGAAGTCTTTTAGAAAATTACAAAAAAAAAACCATAATTCTATTTCAATTGGTAATGACCGCAAAAATGCAGATGGGTAATAGTTGCATGGTAAGAATGAAGGCTAACCACCATGCAGTACAAATTGCTTACCAATATTTTTTCATGTATCACGTCAAAAATAATTATCAGAATATTCGTTTTTTGCATATACATATCTTAATTATGTTTTTTTTAACATACAAGTAATTGCATTATACATATGTACATATATATATTTTACAAGTACAAATTTTTTATTTGCTAGTGTGTCAAGATACAAATTATTTAAATTTCTTAAATATTAGATAAATTTATATAGAAACTTAGGTAATTTGTAAGTAACTGCATTTATTATAATTAGCGAACGTCAGCATGCTTTTACAATTTCGTCAATCACCTGCACTGCTGTGCACTTTTTTAAGTTTTTAGAAAACTTCTTTTCAAATTTCTTTTGCTGCTTCTCTGTTAATTCTTCAGCACCACATTTGGCAGCATATTTCTTCAAGACACGTTTTTTAAGCTTCTCCAAGGCAATACCGTCATTATTCTTTCGTACAATTTTATCTAACACCACACTCCATTCGAAATCATCGCTGGTTTCTGCGTTAGCTTCTAATGCTGTATCATTGGCAACCGCTTCGGCGATTTCTGCCTCATGGACATCATTCTTTTTCTTCTTTGACTTCTTTCTGGCAGGTTCGTTGGTTCCATTTGATGCAGCTGCTACAGCGGTTTCTTCGTCAATTTCCAGCTTCTTTGATTTTTTCTTTTTTGTTTTAACACTTTCAACGTTTGCGCCTTCCTCTTCTTGTGTCTTTGCACTTTCTTTTTTATTCTTTTTGGATTTTTTCTTTACAGGCTCTTCGCTTTCAGTTTCCTCAGTTGCTTCTCGTTTTACACCATTCTGTTTAGGATTATCTTCCTTCTTCGCAGCTGCTGCGGCATTCTCTTCTTGCTTCGCTAATTTCATCTTTTCCTGCTCTTTTTCGAGGACATTCCAAACTTCTGCCACCAAGCGCACTGGCATTCGCATACAATTTTTTGCAAAGTTTTGGAATTTTGCCTTTTTCCTCGGCACATTGTCGAGACTCTGTAAGCGTTCAAATGCACTACGTGCCTGCTCGCTTAGCTTGTATTCATTCGAATCAAGTATAGCACGTATGATGTCCATCCAATTTTCTTGCTTTTTGGCACCACTGTTCTTGGCTTCTTTATGCACATAATCTTTACCGGAATATTTCTGTATTTCCGTGATACATTTAGTGTGCGCAACATACTCTTCTGCACGAAAATCTTTAAGACAATCCATACATGAAACATTCTTCGTAGCACCCCGGCATTTCGTATTGTAGTGTTTCTCTACAGATGGTTTTTTAACAGATTCCCCGCAGTGATTGCAAGTGAAGAAGACCATTGTGATTTTAACGTTTAATTTATTTGTATTTTTATTAGAAAATAACAAAATACATAAGAGTTGTACACCGGTGAGCGATGAAAAAAAATGAACCCAAACAAATCACACGTGCTGAACTCGCAGGTTGCCATATCGGCTATTAGAAACAGCTGTTCTGTATATTCCAAACAAATTTTCAGTGGCAGTCAAACTGTTATAGTCGGTTTCACAGGCAGTGTGTTTTTCACAGTTTAACCCGAAAGTGGTGAAATTGAATTAAAATTTTTTATAGATTTATTTTTTTAGCACATTTTTAAAGTTTTTTTTTTTATGGTAACATAAATATAATTAATAAAAGATTAAAAGTTATTAATTCAGTTTGCAACACATTAGCAGAGAATGTTCTTCTCTTCAACATTCTCTGACATTAGTCTACATTGTCCTTTACTATATTCCAATTAGAATTTTGGTATCACAGGCAGCTGGTGGTTTACGTCTGTGTATGTGAAAAGTACCGTTGTGAAATTTTTTGTTTTCAAAAATTATAAAAGGTGTCAAATTGATTTAAATAGTGTAATTTTTGTAAACTGTTTATTGTTAAAAGTGGAAAACATACAAAACTGCAAATATTTATTAAAGCGTCGTAAATTTAGGTGAGCCGTAATTTTAATAAACTATCATAGAGTTCTCAAAAAGTTTTGTCAAGTCTTCTTTACTTTGCTCCCGCGGTGCTAATTTCGTTATACGTTCCTGTGGCAAAGTGCCCTCTACCAGTGCTGGAATGTCCTTGCTACTAAATCCTAAAGCTTTCAATCCATTTTCAATACCTGCACGTTGCATAAACGTCCGTACGGTATCTGCTAAAATATTGCCGGCATCTTCTAATTTTGCATTGTTGGTATGCCCGCCAAGCATTTGCGCCGCTTCTAAATGACGTTCTGGACATGCAGGTGCGGTAAACTGAAATACAGCTGGTGCGCTGATGACAACGGATAAGCCGTGTGGAACAATTGCATGCGAATCGGCGTAGCCTTCAGGACGAAACTGGCGTACGTTTCCCGATATGGGATAAGACAAGCCATGACAAAGATGTACACCAGCGTTACCGAAACCTACACCAGCCATAGTGGATGCTAGATGCATGCGAGAACGAGCTTCTAAATTATCGGGCTGATAAATGGCGTCAATGAAATTTCCACGTATTATTTGTAGCGCATAGCGCGCCCAAACATCTGAGATAGGATTACGGCCTTGATAGGGTGGTCGTAAGCTAGGGTCAACAGGTGCCGGGCCACGTTCACGATAGTCAACGGCGGTGAAACTTTCGAGGGCATGACAGAAAACGTCGAACCCACAAAAAGCGGTGACACGTTCGGGTTGCGTAAGAGTATGAAGCGGGTCGATTAAAGCTTGAATAAGAATTACGAATTTTAAAAAATAATAAGAAATGTTTGTGAAATATAATTCGTTACATACCTAATTTGGGTTTAAGAAATTTACTTGAAATTCCCGTTTTAGCGTGCAACTTTTTGTAATCGAAAATAGCTACACCGGTAGTCTCTGAACCGGTGCCCGAAGTTGTCGGTAACGCGATCAACGGTTTCAAGTTAACATTAATCTGTTAAAAAAAATCAACTTAATTAATAATATTAAGAAATGCTTTTGATAATACCTCTTTGCCCCTACCAATCGGCTGATTCACATAATCCAAAAATTCCGCGTCCTTATCACAAGAAAATAAATTGGCCACTTTGCAAGTATCAATTACAGAGCCACCGCCTATTGCTACAAACGCATCAAATTGTTTTCCCCTTGCGAAGGTCGCAGCATCCCATAAACTAGCATCAGTCGGTTCAACGCGTGTTTTATCATATACTTCAAATTGTATGCCATGACGGCTGAGCGAATCAAAGGCTGTGCTTACACTAGGTAATTTGGCAACATTAACATCGGTAACCAAACAAACGGACTTTGCACCCCAGTTGCGTAGATCTGCACCAAGTTCGGCTGAAACACCTGGTCCAAAACGTACCGTGGATGATGACATCTGCAAGTACACATTTTTTTTAGAACACATTTTTTTAGAGATATGAAGTCTCCACCTCAAACGCGTATTCCATTTTGCCGGTTTGAGTGCCAGCTGCCACTTGCGCTGCGCCCGAACTGTATCCATGCGAATGTGCCGGGCAGCTACAACTAGTTAATGTTATTTAATTAAAATAAAGTAAATTTACACTGAAGTCCAGTATATATTTTTTGTAAATACTTACGATTTGCTAGCTATAGCGTGCATTAAATTAATTGCATTTTTTCGCGACATTTTTCCTAACCGAAATTGAATAATACTTGTTTACTAAATAAACGATCAGCTGCTCAGTGAGACTGATAATACATTCAATTGACGTGCGCGCGAAGCCGTTGGGGTTGGTTTTGCAAACTCAATCATGGCGCCCAACGAATTTATACTATTAAAATTATATATATATTTATATATAAGAACTTGTTTGAGATCGCTTGCGAGAGTGTTTTTGACTCTTTGTATATGTCTTTTTTGTTTAATTTTTAGCACATTACCATCATGGAGAATATGGAGCTCTCTTTTACTTTTGACGAGTTCAATTATGAGCGTGATTTTAGTGCCGATAACTTCGAATTTGAATGTTTATGGGCTGAGTATGCCGAAGAGATGCAGCGGCTTGATGAATTCGTAGACTTAGAGCAACGATTTGCCAAACAGTTGACAATATCGGACACATCTTAAAAGAATATACGTTTTATGGGCCCACATGTTAATATGTTACTCATTTTAAGGAATACATTATCAGCATTTTTTTGCAGAGCAAAGGTATTTAGTTAATTTTTCTAATATATTATATCTTATTGATTTATTTTTATATATTTTAGCAAGTGCTTACGTTAATAAATATTTAAAATGTGCAGTAAAACTGTTCTAAAACAGTGCAAATAACCCATTGTCATCATATCGATATTCATGGCTTTAATTTGTATATATATTTTTTCAAAAAATCTCATGGGTTTTACTTTTGTATACCAAATGCATCAATGTTCGCATTAATGTTTTGTATTTTTTTTTTTTTGTGCAATTTAAATGTATAATACATTTGAGAAATGTACACATCTACATATATATGTCAGTATGTGTGTATTATCTCTACAAATTGCCGTTGGGACATTTAAATTATTTTACACCTCTCAAATGTATATTATCACTTAAATCGTCTTTGTAAAAAAATATTAGTATAAACCTGTACTTACATGTTTAGCGTTAATTTTTAAAACAAATATTTTACAAGTTTGTCATATGACGCCAACTTGCCAAAGTAATGGTATCGGTATTTTTGTATTTCAAGTTTTATTTAACATTTTTAACCCAATCATATGTGCGATACAACCTACCAATTATTTGTTTAAATCTTTACATACGTTTTCGGTCACTAAATGGCTTCTTATATTGCATATGACTACATTTTATGAATATTTTTATTATGTTCGATTACAAAAATGACATGTCTATAATTGGCAGCATTATATGTGTGTTCTCTCGTTAAGAGTTTCGTAATCGAAATTACATACATAAATATCTTCATTCAAACGAACAGCATGCAACTTATTCAACTCCCTTTTTATATGAGTTACTAAATTTTTTTAAGTATTTAATTTTTACTCGTAGTATCATTCTCTATTTTTTGGTACAAAAACTAAGCTATATTATTTAGCAAATTTACAACCCTCTCATTTTGTAGTTTGAGGGAAATGTATTAATCACTAAAAATTCTTTCGCATAAATTGAGCTTTCGATTAAAAGTACATTTAATAACATAAATTTAAAAAAGCAAGTCTTCCATCAAAAATTAAAAATATTTTATTATCTATTTTAAAAAACCATATTACAACCTTTTTTTTGCTAAAAACCCTTAAAAATGGAATAATTGTTCGAAGAATACACTATACTGTAATATATTCATCGGAAAATAACTGTTTAAGTAACTCGATAGTCGTCTGTCAATGCTATTACACAATTTCTAAGTAACTTAATCTCAAAATGCTGTCTGGGAAGTATTTAAAAGACCTGCACTCATCTACATACAAATGTATATACATTAATTACTGATTGATTGTAAACATATTATAGATCACAGTTTGTTTTTTGTGAGCATTTATTTATTTTTTACTATATTGTTTTTTCTAATTATATTTAAAATAAATTAAATTGCTTTTATAAACTTTGTAACCCAATTTTATTATATCAATAAATATTAAAAAAAAAATTATAAAAATCCGAAATTTTTTTCCGTTATTACACTATTTATTGTTTCCCGTTTTGTGTTTGTAAATGTTTTATAGAAGTCGTGCTTTGTCGACTTTATAAATTATTGTTATAAATAATTAGTTAATATTTGTGTTTAAAAAACGTTAATTTGTTAAATAACATTTATTTTGCATTCGAATATATATTTACTTCACATTGTCTCTTCTTTTCTTCTTCTAAAGAAGAACCCAAAAACGAAATAAATAAATATTAAATTTCTTTATAACATTGTTTTCGAAATATAAAACTTCCTAAGGCGTTAAAATTTACTTTGTACTTGAGATATTTATACCCTGAACAGACTAAACTAAGTTTGACACAAAGAAGGCTACCCAGAAGGTTAAATGTCGTGATGAGCTTGGTCGATTTAGTCATGTCTGTCCGTCAGTCTGTATGTATACAAAATAGTCCCTGAGTTTTTGAGCTATCAATCTGAAATTTTGCACGCGCCATTTTTTATCTAAGAAGCTGCTTATTTGTCGGAACCGACGATATCGGACCACTATAGGGCATAGCTGCATACAAATTGATCGATCAAAATTAAGTCTTTGTATGGGAATCCTTTTTATTTGATGATTTAGTATTGATTATTATTCAAGATACCTCTACAATCTCCGAACAAATTGTTCTGATCGGACAACTAGCTATAATATTTAAACTTATTGCTAAGACCGGACAACTATAGCATATAATTGCCATACAAATTGACCAATCAAAATTAAGATACAAATCTTTTTATACCCTTTTATGCTATAAGTAATGCATCTGGGAAGGATTTTATAGCTTTGGTTAAACCGAATTAAATGTTTTTTTTGTTTTATTTAATTCCTTTCCAATCTTACTTTTGCTATCGGATACCACATCTGTCAAGTGGCCGCTTTTATTGGTCACAGCAAAATGGATCGAGGTTTTTTGACACAAATTGTCCTTTTCCAATAACCACAACACATACAAAAGAAGAAGACAGTCGTAGTTAATTCTTGAAGAACTGTTTGCATAGACAATGTACACAGTTTTTTTTTGACATCAGACGTCAGAAAAAATGTTTGTTGCAGAAACATAATAGTTTGATACGCTGTTTAACATGATTTGTCGTTTGATTGAAACCAATAACTGTCAGCCGCTTTTCCATTATGGAGGGCTTTGAACACGGGTTCTACACATCCTAAAATTTGCAGCAAATGATCCCTCCAAATACTTTCCGCAAATAAAACAGCATTGTATATTGTTTTTACCTTTTCTCGAAAACCGAAGTTTTTATTAAAATTCTTCACTAGCGACTGTAACTGTAGTACATAAAATGTCTCCTTTGATTGTTAATTTAATTGGTACACGCGAACATGAATCTCGAGAAAAGTTTTATATAAATTTTCTTTGTGTGTAAATTATATTTATTTTTAAAATTAACCAATTTAATTTACTCCAAATTTATTTAAAAAAAAAAAGCTTCGTTAAAAAATAATTTAATTTTTTTCACTTAAGCAATGCTTGGATAGCATTGCTTATGCGCTTGAAAATACAATATATAGCAAAGAACTTAATTGTATGTATATACATATATATACTGTGTGTATGTATGTGTACATATAAACTAATGTAAAAAAAATATTGTGGAAGAGTTTTGTAGTATAAATGTTCCTTTCAGATAGTAAACAGCTTCAAAGTGTTGTTTGTATGTATATAAGATTTGACTTAAACATATATTACAGAAAACATTTATCGTATTTATAGTTAATATGTATATATCAATTATATATATAGTGTATATAGTAAAATTTACGTTTAATCATTCACCAAAATGCAGTTTAATGTTTTATGTCTTTTTTAAATAATTTTTTCTAGATATAAAAACGCCAGCTGCTGGATGTTAGCTTTGTGCTAATAGCACTTAGTATAATCTATTTTTTAGGACTGTGTTAAAATTTTGAAAAAAAAAGTTTTCTGTATTCCAAAAATTTCCAACGATGGCACTATGTTTTTAATATGCAAATAAGTTTTTCAGCTGGACGCATTGTTATTTTGTGTTTATGTCTAGCATTTACGTTTGATTTATTATTTTTTATATATTTTTTATATTGAGTTAATTGTAATTCTTTTAATTTTAGACTTTTTAATTGAAATGCATACCGTTACTTTGTTAAAGTAAATTATATTTTTTTTGTTTTTGTTCACTCTCTGCCATTGCTCGTTTTTGTTAGTTGTTGTTAGATGTTAGTCATGTTTGGGAATCGAAAAAAATGTGTAGCCAACTGTTTTCAGTTATTCTATTTCCCGTTTTTAAACTTAGTTAAGTACTATTATTTAGCAAAGTAGAATATTTTATTTGTATTTAAGTTTAATTCGGTATTAATACTTTGTTCCCGCCGTCTTACGAATTTCACATGATTTTTATTTTTTTATTTCAGTTTTGTTTTTGTTTTTCGTTTATTGTGTGTATGTGGTGTCTTTTTGTTTTACTTGTGTTTTGCATTTTACTATTTTTCATGTTTTTCTTTTAAATATATATTTTGTTTTTGCTTAAAATTAAAACATTTTAATAACAAGTGATTGTGTTGTTGAGTCGGTTTCAACTGCCATTCCCGTTTCACACCCATTCAAACATACCCAGCAGCTAATAACTGTGAGTGTGTGCGTCGCTCCCAATTTACATACACATATATGTATGCGTGTGCGCGTACTTGTGCTCGACTTTATTGTTTTAGACCTGATTGATTGGCGCATAACGATGCACCTTGGGTATCTTCGGCTCCTTCACTTTCGGCTTGATTTCTTCCGAGAGTTTCTGATAGACAATCGAATTGTTTGAGGAGGCCAACAAGGCCATGCGATAACGTTCGCCACGCTTGCGCAAGACAATTGATACAATCTTGACGAGAACCAACATGAGTATAAGCAGACATGTGATGATCACAATAATAGGTATGAGGAATTTATAGCCTTCGTAGTAGATGCGTCCACGCTCAATAATGATTTCCTCTTCAGGATCATTTTCGCTCGAGTCGTCACCGTTCATTAAGAATTTGTCTGTAAGGCAATTAGAGAAAAATATGTGTTATACCGAAAAATTCAATTGCCTTCGATTTATTAAAAATACGAAATTTGATTACTTACTCAACAGGAATTGATCTTTGGTTTCCTTGCTTAGATCCACGTCTTCGACACGCACACCAAAGTCGTGTAACTTCGTAATGTCGATCTTCTTTTCGCTTTCATCCTTGTTATGCTTCTTATCATTATCATTTTCATCATCATCATCGTCATCATCCTCATCGTCTTCATCCTCATCATACTCGCTATCGTTTTCTTCACCTTCGTCATCTTCATCTTTGTCCTCTTCGGCGGTGTTCTCATCCTCTTCAGCGCTCTCATCATCCAAATTGCCGGCAATCACCACATCACTCTTCTCTGTGTCCTTCAGTATTTTATGTTTATATGTTTTGGTATTCTCCACAATCTTCCACAAACTCTTTGCATCGCTGTCTAGTTCTTTGTCTGCTTGTTCGATACGCTTTTCCAAGCTCTTCTGTGTTGGCTTGCTTATTGTGCCCTCTTCTTGATGGCGACACACCTCATGCGCCAACGCGGCCCAATCGGCATGTGGCTGGTATTCGACAAGGCTCGCATCACCCTCAAGTTCAGCATGTGTCGGCAATTTGTTCGGTCCCAGGTAGGGTCTAAGCGATACATAGCTGATGAAGTCTTGGAAGTCGTCGCTACACTTGAGTGGATTGTGTGCAATGTCCAAAGTGTGTAGATTCTTAAAGCTGCGCACATCACCGGACGATATACGTTTGATTTGATTGGATGAGGCATTGAAGCTGCGCAGAGTATCGTAGAATTTATATTTACGGCCCATGCCAAACTGATTCTCAGATAGTAGTGAAGACAGCTCACAATCGCTAACATCCAATTCTTGTAGTTTTGCCAGCGGCATAAAGAGACGCACAGACAATTTGCGTATTGGATTACCAGCAAGATTCAACTTCGTCAATTCATTGTTATTCATGAAGAGTAACTCATCGAGGCGTGCAATGAGATTATTGCTCAAATCCAGCTCGGTTAACTTGTTGAGGCTGATGAAAGTGTCACGTTCCAAGTTATTAATATTGTTCCAGGCAAGTTTCAGCGTTGCCAAATGTGGCATTGTGGAGAATGTCTTGTGGCCGAGTGCGCCAATAGCGCAATTCGAGATGTCCAAGAAGTAAACGGTGAATAGACCGTTGTAACTGAGGAAACCATCGGTTGGTAATTGGCTAAGACGTGGGTTGTCATTCAAACGTATGACATCCAATTCGGAATTCTTGTAGAAAATCATGCTGGATACTTGATCCAAGTCGTTGATGGACAAATCAATATGGCGTAAACGTTTCAGTGCCAAGAAAGAGTCCGCTTGAATTTTCGTAATACCATTACCTTTGAGATTAAGATTGGTCAGACCAGTCATGCGGTCGAACATGCCGTGGTGAACGTGTTTAATGTTGTTAAAGCTCAAATCGAGTTGCTGCAGATCATCGTTACCAAAGTGCAAGTCGCCGGTAATGGAGTTGTATTTAAGATGTAAAATAGCGAGCGTTGTACGATTGAAGACGTTGGCTGGTAGAGTTTTCAAAGCATTGTACGACAAATCCAATTCTTCAATGGTTTCTACAGAATCAAAGACATGTTCGGGAATCTTTTCCAAATTGTTCTGCGATAGATTAATGTAGACGACATTGGAGAGTTTAGAAAATGCTTGTGGATGCAATTCCATCAGATTGTTACGTGACAAATCCAGCTCCTCAATGCTCGAGGACTGTAAAAAGCAAGCGGAAAAAGATATTCTAATTATATGAACTTTAAATTGCATGTGTTATTATTACTTA